CAGTGCGATCGGCCCCTCAGCGCCATCGTACTTGGCTTCACGGTTCGACTCGCCCATTCCTTCCAGGATGGCGACGAACGTCTTATGCAGTGCGATCGGCCCCTCAGCGCCATCGTACTTGGCTTCACGGTTCGACTCGCCCATTCCCTCCAGGATGGCGACGACCGTCTTATGCAGCACGATCGGCTTCTCAGCGCCATCGTGTCTCTTTCACGTTCGGATCGCCCCATTCCCTCCAGGATGGCGACGAACGTCTTATGCAGTGCGATCGGCCCCTCAGCGCCATCGTACTTGGCTTCACGGTTCGGCTCGCCCATTCCCTTCAGGATGGTGACGACCGTCCTATGCAGCACGATCGGCTTCTCAGCGCCATCGTGTCTCTTTCACGTTCGGATCGCCCCATTCCCTCCAGGATGGCGACGAACGTCTTATGCAGTGCGATCGGCCCCTCAGCGCCATCGTACTTGGCTTCACGGTTCGGCTCGCCCATTCCCTTCAGGATGGCGACGACCGTCCTATGCAGCACGATCGGCTTCTCAGCGCCATCGTGTCTCTTTCACGTTCGGATCGCCCCATTCCCTCCAGGATGGCGACGAACGTCTTATGCAGTGCGATCGGCCCCTCAGCGCCATCGTACTTGGCTTCACGGTTCGGCTCGCCCATTCCCTTCAGGATGGCGACGACCGTCCTATGCAGCACGATCGGCTTCTCAGCGCCATCGTGTCTCTTTCACGTTCGGATCGCCCCATTCCCTCCAGGATGGCGACGAACGTCTTATGCAGTGCGATCGGCCCCTCAGCGCCATCGTACTTGGCTTCACGGTTCGGCTCGCCCATTCCCTTCAGGATGGCGACGACCGTCCTATGCAGCACGATCGGCTTCTCAGCGCCATCGTGTCTCTTTCACGTTCGGATCGCCCCATTCCCTCCAGGATGGCGACGAACGTCTTATGCAGTGCGATCGGCCCCTCAGCGCCATCGTACTTGGCTTCACGGTTCGGCTCGCCCATTCCCTTCAGGATGGCGACGACCGTCCTATGCAGCACGATCGGCTTCTCAGCGCCATCGTGTCTCTTTCACGTTCGGATCGCCCCATTCCCTCCAGGATGGCGACGAACGTCTTATGCAGTGCGATCGGCCCCTCAGCGCCATCGTACTTGGCTTCACGGTTCGGCTCGCCCATTCCCTTCAGGATGGCGACGACCGTCCTATGCAGCACGATCGGCTTCTCAGCGCCATCGTGTCTCTTTCACGTTCGGATCGCCCCATTCCCTCCAGGATGGCGACGAACGTCTTATGCAGTGCGATCGGCCCCTCAGCGCCATCGTACTTGGCTTCACGGTTCGGCTCGCCCATTCCCTTCAGGATGGCGACGACCGTCCTATGCAGCACGATCGGCTTCTCAGCGCCATCGTGTCTCTTTCACGTTCGGATCGCCCCATTCCCTCCAGGATGGCGACGAACGTCTTATGCAGTGCGATCGGCCCCTCAGCGCCATCGTACTTGGCTTCACGGTTCGGCTCGTCCATTCCCTTCAGGATGGCGACGACCGTCCTATGCAGCACGATCGGCTTCTCAGCGCCATCGTGTCTCTTTCACGTTCGGATCGCCCCATTCCCTCCAGGATGGCGACGAACGTCTTATGCAGTGCGATCGGCCCCTCAGCGCCATCGTACTTGGCTTCACGGTTCGGATCGCCCATTCCCTTCAGGATGGCGACGACCATCCTATGCAGCACGATCGGCTTCTCAGCGCCATCGTGTCTCTTTCACGTTCGGATCGCCCCATTCCCTTTCAGGATGGCGACGAACGTCTCTTATGCAGCACGATCAGCGCTCCAGCGCCATCGTGTCTGGCTCACGTTAGGGTCTCCCATCCCTTTCAGGATGGCGACGAACGTCTCTTATGCAGCACGATCAGCGCCCCAGCGCCATCGTGTCTGGATCACGTTAGGGTCGGCCATCCCTTTCAGGATGGCGACGAACGTCTTTATGCAGCACGATCAGCGCCCCAGCGCCATCGTGTCTGGCTCACGTTAGGGTCGCCCATCCCTTTCAGGATGGCGACGAACGTCTCTTATGCAGCACGATCAGCGCCCTAGCGCCATCGTGTCTGGCTCACATTAGGGTCGGCCATCCCTTTCAGGATGGCGACGAACGTCTTTATGCAGCATGATCAGCGCCCCAGCGCCATCGTGTCTGGCTCACGTTAGGGTCGCCCATCCCTTTCAGGATGGCGGCGAACGTCTCTTATGCAGCACGATCAGCGCCCCAGCGCCATCGTGTCTGGTTCACGTTAGGGTCGCCCATCCCTTCCAGGATGGCGACGAACGTCTCTTATGCAGCACGATCAGCGCCCCAGCGCCATCGTGTGTGGCTCACGTTAGGGTCGCCCATCCCTTTCAGGATGGCGACGAACGTCTCTTATGCAGCACGTCTGCCCCTCGGCGCTGACATGCCCGGTTTATCGATGAGAGCCACCGCTTTCTATCACATCTCACATTCCTTCTCTCATACATTGCACTCATACATTACATGCATTCATGCATTCATGCATCATACCTCATACATTCATACATACACACGTGCATCATGTTTTGACAGTACCGCGACGTCGGTTTGTAGATGCATGGACCTCTAAGCTTCTCCGATTGGAAAGCTCGAGTCAGGGTCCTCTACTCTCGCCTGATGCATTCAGGGGGAGCGTGCCCGTAGAGGAGCACCCTTCGCCCAACCCCGTCGGGAAGGGGGGTGCCTCACCGGCAGATTACGTTCAGGAGTGCAGACACTCACTCATATATTATGATTATGTGAAGACACAGTTTCCAGCAAGACAGAGGGAGAGCGCAGGCAGAGTATATTTTCTCGAGCAGATTCGCGAGCTCACTACTCAAGAAACTGGGGGACTTGTGTTGGGATATATTATCCCGGCCTATTACTGTTCAGGAGCCCAAGACATTATCCAGTACGGAGCCCGAGCAGCTAGGCCCATTTCGGCCCATTTGGCCCATTAGGGTGGAGAGCACCCTTCCCCTTTCCCCTATAAATATGAGGCTTCCCTCCATGTATTAGGGATCCTCTTTTAGCTTCATCTTCCTCCTTCTTTTAGACTTAGCTCAATACTCCATTAATGGGAGCTTGTACAATGTAATTGTGAGGAGAGTCCTAATGAGAAAGAGAGGGCTTGGACATTAGCCGAAAAAGTCCCGTGGTTTTCTCCCTTTCGGGTTTCCACGTAAAAACTGAGTTGTTCATACACATTTATACATATATTTACTATATCGTGTTGGATTAAACTCAACACAAATGTTCTCATTTTATAATTCTCTACATATTTATAATTATGTAGCAGCAACTTAAGTATTCAAGCTCATTACATAAATATTCATTTATGTATCCTCATAATTCATACATGAGTAAAATGTCTAATTCACAAAATAGTTCATTCACAACTCATTTAATCTCTTATTATTCATACAACCTCAAATCACTTCCAATTTCATTCTTTGGAAACTATATCAATATTTCATCAATATTTAATCATCATAATCCATGAAAAATTATGATTTAGGCATTTAGGTAATCTCATGCTTAACCTACAAGTTGTAAGCAATTAGATGTCGATCCTCACCTTAATTGAGCTTTAAACTTTTCCTTCTTGATCCAATGGTCAAAGCTTCGGTCAAGGTGTATTAGGGACTGATTCCTTACTCAAAAATGAGTGTTAAACAGCCTCCTCCAAGTGCTATCTCAACCCTTAACCAATGATACGAAAACAGCCCCAAGAATGGGTGTTTTCCGACGAACTCCTTTCCTAGTTTTTCCAATATTTGCTCTAGGTTAGTATATAACCTTTACATCAATAAATTAACTCTATAAGGACATATTATACACCTTGAGTGGTGTATAATAGCTCCATCAATCGTTCATATCATTTGGAAAATGAAAGGAAAGGTTTTGGGGTTAACACTCACTTTAGAAGAGTAGACCCGTTTCTGCGAGGTTGCGTTTTGCTCAGACGATTTCGAAGTCTTCCACTACTCCGATTGATGCAAACCAGACTTTCACGGATTCCTCGTCTTGAGAGCTTTCTTTTGGTATCTTGCACGCCTTATTTGGATTGGTATAACTTGAGATATCAACCAAACAGCCTCAACACTCTCACTGCTCGATTTTGTACAATACGAGAATTAAACAAGGTTTAATACGGACGCATTTTATTTGGTAACATGAATGAAAAAGACGGTCAAAAATTCGTTGAAAAAAACATTGACTTTTAAAAAACATGTAAATATGTATACGTGTATAATACGTTATCTACTACAAAAATTCGGAGGAAAAATACGGGTATTATTTTGAACATCTAAATGATATATTTCATAAAATAGCATATATAGTAAAAAACGAAATAAAAGTATACACATATTCAAGTAGCAAATCTCATTACTTCATACAAGAATAGTTCATAATTGCATAAGTCGATGACAAAAATAAAAACAGTAATCAAGTCTAGGACATAATTTTGAAAAATAATGTCAAAAAATCATTATCTTTATATGATCATCATATAATAATACTCAAGTTAAACTCATCATTTTCATTAAGATGACATATGACAAAAGTTGTGTGATTATTACACTTATTATTGTTTGTGTAAAAGCTTATGCTAAAAAAACGTTAGGTTTAGAAAAATCTTAATTTTGACATGCTAGCTTAAAGAAAACATCAGAAATCTTGTAGTATATTACTCCGTACTACGTAAGTTTTAGTATTTCAGTATGATAACTTTAGCAATCATGTAATTAATTTTAGTATTTAATAATTGCACTGTAACAAGACAAAAACACGAGATCATAGGGTGGACGTTTTCATTTTTACTTTTATACTATTGTTGATCTTCTATGCATTTAGTGCATTCATTCAATAGGTCAATTCATGTTAATGTTTCTTGTAAAATGCAGGGAAAATACGTTTTATACGTGTTTTTTTTTGTCAAAAAACGGTCGCGTTTAAAACGGAAAAAAGCTAACTAGGCTTTGGATTGAGATTTCAAAAAAGTACATATGATCACATACTACTATACAGTTTCTCTAAAACTGAAACTTAATTTGCTAAGTAAACGATCACATAATATGCTAATTATGTAGGAGTTAAGGGTCCTAAGAAGTCAATAACGTAAAAACAAGCAGAAAATTTTGTCATGAAAACAGCCATTGAAAACGCTCCAATAACCACTCCCGTACCCCACACTTTATAAATGTTATTGCCTGTGTGAGTCCACACCATCGCCGACTCTTCTTTGATACCGTTAACCGCTGCAAATATGCGACGTCGTTCCTCATCGCCTTCTTCTTTGACGGCGTGAATTAATCGCCCATCACGCCGCCATCCCTCATCGCCTTCTTCTTTAACGCCGTTAATTAATCGCCAATCACGCTGCCGTTCCTCACCGCCTTCTTCTTTGACGCCGTTAATTGATGGCCAATCCCGCCGCCGTTCCTCGTAGTCTTCTTCTTTTCCTTTTGATTCCTCTCCGGCATAATCATCGGTCAACTCCTCGGGAACGTCATAGACCTTAAAACCCAAATCCGCCATATCGATCTGCCCCGCATTGCTGCCGCCGCCGCTCGGGCTCGAACACTCATGGCCGTCTCCCGTCGCCGCCGCGCATCTGAATGCGATGTCCAATTCCGAGAGAATCTCAGCGATTTGCAGCAGGTGGTCCGGATTCACGTCCGACGACGATGACATCTCCGATGAGAGGAGCGCCTTCAGTGAGTCTAGGCGCTCCTCCACGCCGTCCGAGAGGCTGTGGCGGTGCGGCGACTCCGGCGGGAGTGTGAGCAACTCCACCACTCCCGTTTCGAGTTCCCTGAGTTTCTTCCGCAGCTTCGTGTACCTTCTCGACATGGCGGCGTTTAAACGGATTACGGAGATTATTATTGTTGTTAATTGTTGTTCGATTGTTAGTAAAGTCCAATTGCAGTTTTAATTTGGTTCATTAAATTTTGCCGTTGGAACGCCAAACTAGAAGACGTGACGGTTAAAGGCGGGCAGACGCTGTTCCAAATGGATGTTGCGCGAACCTACATTTTTATCAAATTATTACTAAACTAACTAATGATTTTGTCAAACAAAAACTAATACCCCGTAATACTTCGTATAAAAAAGGAAAATTTTGTGAAATGCGAGTAAACAAATTTTCTAATTATGTTATTTGGTTGTGCTAAATGTAAGTACTTATTAAGAGAGTAGCGTTCTTTTCAGGCCGGCCTGATAAGATTCGCCATCTGGCCGAGACCATTAGAAGTCCTTCCTCCTGATGGAATTTTTTAATAAAATTTTTGAGCATGTTTCCCATCTAGTCTAATTTTAAAAAAATGCAAACATAATAATCGTATTTTAGAATTCACAAATGTTGTAGGTATAACTACACTCTAAGAGCATCTCCAATGGATTGGTTTGAGGACTTGCTTGCAATTTTCAAGCTAATAGCTTGCCATTGGAGCATTCCTTTTCTTTTTGCTTGAGATAACTACTTAGCTTAAATGAGCTACTAGTTTGAGGATGTGAAATTATTAAATAAAGCATTACTAATAATAAATGAAGAGGAAAATGTTATAGCTAACCATTGGAGACTTGGAGTACATTTCAATTTTGCTAGAAATGCTTATGTGGCTAGTCAAGCTATGAGGGCAATTAGTTAACCGCTGGAGATGCTCTAAAACAGTTCTTCTTTTTCGTTAATCTTATATTTCCCCCTAAAATAATACCCCGCACAACCAAACATTTCAGCTCAGCTGGTTGTGGAGTTACCGTGTCTAGTAGGAAGTCTCTAGTTTGAAACCTGCTAGGCATATAAGGGTTCGATATTCAATGGAGTGAGTTTCAGCCCGATAACTCCGTAATGTATATAGAATATAGTTAATTCATAAATAAATAATATTTCTAAATAGATTAATATGTCATGATATTTTTAACTGAGAGTATTTGCTGCAGTTCGGGCTAGAATCGCAGCAATAACACCACTTTTGTTGAATAGAAAAAAAATCTAAATAGAAAAAAACATTGCAAATTTTCTCAATAGGACTAAATAGCTTCTATTTTTCAAAAAACAAAACACTGCACGTTTGATTCTATTTTACAACTTTGTCTAAATATTGATCATATTTTGAGCAATTACTACAAGTTTGAATACACCTAACGTCATCTCCACATATCCAAAATAACTGATTTTTTTAAAACCACGTGATTTTCCAAATCTTCACATCGATGTATGTTGAATGAGCTAATGGTGTTTCTCAAATTTCATTATCAATCACATAATTCTATTTTTCTTAAATATTGCATTACTCTCATTTGTCTCAATCTTAAGGGGACGGGATAGTATGATTTTTGTTTGGTAAACTTCCGACTCATTATAAATTGATCCGAATCGAAACTAATAAAAATGAACCAAAAACCGATATACTCATACCTAGGGATGGACCAGGCCCGGGCCGGTCGTGGGTGGTATTGGATTTTTGGGCTTATGGCCCGGTACTGGCTTGGGATTCTACCGGGACTAGGTCGGTCCGGGTCGGGTCGAGTCAATTATTTTTTTTAATTAGGCTTTTCTAATTTATTCCTACCCCCGGCCCACCCCCAAGCCCCGCCAAAACACCCAGCTTAACCCACCTGGCAGCGGCCCAATGCAAAAAAAAAAATGGCCCGGATCGGTCACCCATTTCCCTGTCCCGTAGCCCGCCCTTCCCTACCCCCGTTTCAGGCCCCATGGACCAGTCCCTGTCTCAGTCGGTGGTCCGGTGAGTACTGCACGGTTCTGGGTCGGGCCCCGGGCCTGTCCGGTCGGTCCCGCCGATCCCTACCCATACCTAGGGGTGGGAAAATATACCGAAATTTCGGTATACCGGCTATACCGTACCGAAAAATACCGAATTTACCGAACTTTTCGGCATACCAAAAAATTCGGTACGGTATGATACCATACCAGGTCACTCCGGTACGGTAACGGTATGCAGTTTTTAAATTTTCGGTATTTCGGTATATACCGAAATACCGTTAATTTTCGGTAAGGTACGGTATATACCTAAATACCGAATTAGATTTTGTAAATTATTAGGCTCAACACACGGTGTCCATACTCCATAGTCCATAGGCCATACCTACTTGGGTTCTATTTGCAACAACTTATGCTCTTAAAAAAGTGCTTTTTTAATGAAATGGGAGAAGTGAATAAATAAAAGTTGATAGTGTTTGAGAAACAGGGCCGGTCCTGGGGCATGGGCAGGAGGGGCATGCGCCCAGGGCCCTTTGCTCCAGTAAGGCCCATAAAATTTTCAAATATGTGTGTATGTATGTACATAAATATTTTAAATATATAAATTATATTTTATAATAAATAAAAAATAAAAAATAAAAAATAAAATCAAACTTATATTTTTAGATACTTCTAATTTGTTATTTACCATGTACACAATACAAGTCCATAATTTTGAAACATCCACATTAGAATTCATTGGGAACATATTTCACCATTTCTTTTGAATCATTAAGGATTATTACATTAATTTTAATCTTTTAGTGTACATGTCTTATGTATATCCATTGATATATTTCACAAATTTCTTCCGATTCTCTCATTTAGTGAAAGATTGAACTTTAGTGTCCATAATTTAGAAACTAAGAATTTGTTTTTGTCTAGTGAAAATGTGATTTAAAATATGAAAAAGTTACTCATACAAGATATAACTTTCAACAAATTCCCTTGATTCAAAATTTTTATTGCGCCTAATAGTTGCACTACTTGTTTCATTCGGTTGCTAGGTACATTGTATCCTCGAATGTCACTTATCAATTCGCTCTTTATATATTTTCTAACCATATGCTTTGTTAGTTTTTTTATGTGTTATACTCGTATTTTGACGGTAAAATAGTATAATTTTAAATTATAGATTTTCGCGCGTTATCCTTAACGCCCAGTCTATTTGTATTGTCCCGGGCCCATAAAATGTCAGGACCGGGCCTGTTGAGAAAAAAGTAATTTTGAAAAGTAAAAGTGGGTAGTGTTTGGTAAAATAAGTGCTTTTGTGTAATAGAAAAAGTAAAAGCACTTTTGACGCGGAAGCTGAGAAAAATAAAAGTTGTAGTGTTTGAGAAAATAAGTATTTTTTCAAAGTCAAAAGATGAGAAGTGTTATTTTAAAAGTAGTTGTAAAACATGCTACTTGTAGCGATTTGAGTCGGGATCCCATTTTAGTTTATTTGGGTTTGGCATATATTGATTGAAACGCGAAACGCAAACATGCCCAAATTTTAAACCGAGTTATATTTAGCGCATCGCCGCGATAGATTTTGCAGTGCTCGAAGACAGTCGCCGTTGCAGCTTTGCCTGGACAGAGCCTCCAGTGAGCGATGGGAATAATCAGGGGAAATTTCGTCTTCATATCTGGAGCAGTCTGCGGAATATACATCGCTCAGAACTACAATGTCCCAAACATTCGGAAAACTATTGAGGCCGTTTTGGTTCAGGCTAAAGTCGTCGAAGAGAAGTACCGGAAGCCCCCAAAACCTAGCGATTAGCCTAAGGTTTTCTAAAACCAGGTTTATTTACTGTGATTTTTACATACTCAAATGTGTATTTGGAATTTGCAATGAACTTGATATATTTCTGTGATGATCTTGAAGTTTCATAAATTTTAATGTTTATCCTTGTTCGACATATTAATGAATCTTTGTTATTGACGTTTTTTATGCCAATTGCTGCAATAAAGTTCCAAGCTTTGGCTGCCTAATTTGACATACTGCAGTTCTGAATTAGTGAATTTGGGCAATTGAGTCTGTCTTTTTCTCATTTCCAACAGGAAGGGAGAGATATAGTTTCCATGGAATGATGGTTACAATTAGTAGAGTGACAATATTGTGAAAATCAAGCTAAACGCGTAGCTTGATGTTTCTTTTAACTATAAGAAAAAATTGCATATTTTCACTTATGAGTTATGGCCCGTTTGGATGGTGGGGTTTTAAGAGAAAGGCCTCTGGAGGACTCAAGAATGTGTTTGGATGGAGTGTTTGAAGGTGTTATAAGTGGAAATATTGAAGGGTGTTGGTCTGCACACTTGTTTGGGAGAGAAATTTAAATAAATTGGAGTGCTAACAAGTGTTTAAAATTGTTGGGGGAAACCCCCCTAACACCTCAATAGGTGAGTTTTTAACCCTCCAAATGTTGGACAAGTGTTAGAGAAGGGTTTTTAACAGTGTTTTATATCTTGATAAATAGTTGAAGAACTGAATAAAAGATTTAAAATATCATACTATCATATACTACGTATTATCTTTCAATTTCTTTTATACAATCTCAAATATCTATCTCATATACTTCTGGAGAACAAGACCTTGGTTCAGATATTTTGGATGGAGTTAGGAAGTGATAGAAATACCACAAATACAGTTTCTTAAGAAGAAGGGCCATTAAAGTAGTGGAGTAGGTCAAAATGCTTATGACAGTGGAAAGAAAGAAAGAAATTATATGGTGGACAAAAGGAAAGGTCTGCGAAATTGTAGAGTTGTTGCCCTCTTATCCCAATGCAAATTTTATGAAAGTGACAAAGAAGTCCCAACCTGAAAAGAAATGGAAGGCACAGTAAATTGTCACCCTCTCATCAATAAAATATTGGCTCTTGTTTTAATTCTTAAAAAACTCTATTTGTGGCATTTCTATCACTTCCTAACTCCATCCAAAAATTCTGAACCAAGGTCTTGCTGTGCAATGTAATAGTATATGAGATAAATATTTGAGATTGTATATAACAAATTGAAAGATTAATATATGATGGTATGATATTTCAATCTTTTATTCAGTCTTAAACTATTTATCAAGATACTCCCTATAGAACAAGCTGTTCAAAATCCTTCTCTTCAAACCCATCTATCCAAACGGACCCTAAGTATTCCAGATTTATGGTCCCACCTAACACTATTCCCAATTTGGTAGAAAAATTAAGGACCACTCTGGATGATAATACTTTGGAGACGAAATTCGATATAAATCTGTGATATAGAAAGCATGTTCGATAAGATAATGATAAATAAATACTCGTAGCAAGGAAGTTGCACTGGAAGATTTTTGTAGTTTACTTAATGTTTGTAAATGTTATTATGACTTAAAAGAACCTTAGCATATAACTTAATGTTTTATCATTTTGATGTATTTGCTTGATTGATGATACCGGAGATCGACAGGTATGCCATAACAGAGCTATCTGCAATCGATTCACTCAAGAAACAAGATGATGTATTAAACATTTATTATCACTAGCTACAAACAATGAATATTCCAGTATTGACAGCAATATTACTGGACACAATAAAATGTACAATCACGGGTTCATTTACAATTAACAGCAATTCTAAGTTAGTCTGAAATTCACTGAGAATAGTTTTGACAATTCAAGCATCTTGTTGCAAACTAGTATGCATTCATATCAAACCTCTTTCATCTTCTCATTCCCTTCAGGGCAACACTTGAACAATACTTAGTAATGTCTTGATATCAAATCTTAAATCTTCATTTACACTACACTATCATCATGCTGCTATACATTGAGACAAGCTTAGGGTCGGGTTTGAAAATTTTAGTGGCCCGCATACTTGCATTTTCTGAAAGAATAGTGTAATAAGCTGATCACAGCTACCAAACGTATTCTTACACATCATTGACACAAGAGTGTAACCTCGACTCGTTATGACCAGTGGAATTTTGAATCTTATCAGCAACCTCGGACACAACCAACCTAGTTAGTAACAACCCTGCAACTAGAGCAGACCCCATCAACATCGTGAAGACGCCATTCCAGCTCTTAGCAGATATGTAGCCCGTTAACAGAGGCCCAATTGCCGCACCAATAGAGCCCGTTCCATCTATAATGGCGGTAACCGTTGCAAGTGCTCTTGAGTTTCCTCTCAACGAGCTGTGTGTTCCCAAGTCAGCTGAAACTGCGGTTGTTATCAATGCATAAGGTCCATTCACGAACATGCCAGTGATCAACATTAGAAGAATGTTAATGGACATGGAGACATCACCAAAGTTTCTGTACAAGAAGAGAGCTGGGATGGAACAGTATATGAAGGTTGCAGCTGTAATGGCTCTGGCATTGAGGTGATCAGAAATGTAGCCGGCTAGGATCCCACCAACCACCCCTCCGACATCAAATAAGGTCGACAAGTTTCCCGATTCCTCGTTAGATAAGTACCTCCCGTCGATAGCTGCAACGTCACAAGGGATTTTGATGATTTAATTAATAGAACAAAGCAAATTTCTGAAATTTGAAGGGATAGCTAAATATTTAGTCTAATAACTTGATGGGTTGCATCATAACCCAAGTAATAATTTTGTTCCAGTAATTCGGGATAATGAGTAATTTAAGAACCTTGTTCACTGGATTACACATGATATTGAAGGTATGAAAAAGCATTTTTTGAAGATCTAAAACAAAAATTGTCATATTGGTAAGGGCCGGGTCAAAAATAAGATTAAATCTAGCTCTTTAAAATGAATTAAATGAAGACGTGTGAGGTGAAAAAGGTCCTCAAATTTCACTTTTTATTTAAAGTTACTCAACCAAAATTGCCAACCGAGCATAAATGTCACTGCCCTAAGTTATGGGATTGATTTTGCAATTTTCCGATCATCATCATCGTTACCCCAGTGACGTAAAGGCTCCCTCCTACCTACGGTGGTGTAAGGGGGGTCGGATGTACGCAGTCTTACCCCTGTACTAAAGCACAAAGAGACTGTTTCAGGATAACCCATAGTGAAAATCGCGTCCAAAATTGCAAGGACTGACTACAGCTTCATAACAAAGTAAAGAAGTGCAGAGAGTTTAGTGAGTCATTTTGCTTTATTTCATCATATTTTCAAGTCAAAAATTAGTGAGTCTTTGACTCCATTGCAAATTTTCCGATCTAAAACATAATGGTTAAAATTCAATGCCTAATTTTTTAAGTAGAAAGGACACTAGACTGTCCTTTAAGTACCTAATTTTTTTTCCATATTTAGGTCCTGAATAACCTGATTGGTTTTGCTTATAGCTTATAAGTACCTATAGATTATAGCATAGGTAATAAATGTTAAACATACCTGTGTGGCTAATATAGAAAGGAAGCCAATAGAGGAAAGTATAGGCCACCAATTTTGCAAAGAAGAGGCAAAGGGCGAAAGGTGCAACCCCTGGGATCTTCCAAGCTTCAACAAAACCTACAGCAGATTCGTTTTCCACTTCATCTGATCTCAGAAGAGGTTGAAGTGTTACTTTCATCTCTTCCTTTTCAAGGGAGTGGATATTGTCTTCATCTTCACTAGCCCCAACCGATTCGGGGTCCACGGGCAATAACAGAAACACAAGTAAGCCAGTGAAGGTGATAGATATCCCAGGAATAACCAATGACCAACCCCATCCGAACTTCAACAAAACGGATGCAATCAATGACCCAGTTATGTTCCCGATTGACGTGTGAGCATTCCAAATCCCCATTATAAGCCCTCTCTTCTTCTTCCCAAACCAATTTCCAACAACCGCAACCACCGAAGGCCAGCCCGTGGATTGGAACAACCCGGCCAGCATTTGGACAGTCAAATAGTAATAGAAGTTATGGATATTCGCCCAATACCCAAAGCCGAAAAGTCCAGTGAACAGACCAGTTCCGACCATTCCTGTTGTTAAGAATATCCTAAGGTTCATCCTATCACCTACGTGCCCTGAGAAATACATCCCTAGTGCATATACAAAGAGGAATGCCACATCAAGTTCCCCTAGCAATTCCGTTCCATCTTTACTGTTAAAAGGAAACCAACCATTCCCAAGCGCCCATCTTAGCCGTGGGGATTTCATGCCTAAATCGGATGATTTGGGATCAAGAGCACTTTTGACAATGCTGGTAGTTTTTCTAGTAGCATGGTATGCGGCGTATGCCAGAAACGTTACTATTAGAACAATGGCTTGATATGTTTGGTATGAGATGTGCGACTTCTTTAGGCACTTAAACAACTGTATTCCTAATGGTGTCTTGAATTTTCTCTCTGCCGGAACAGACCCCATTATAGGATATAAATTTTGAAAAAAGTTGCTCTCCTATGAATCCAAGAATGATAAAATCCTGAAACAAGTTGCAAACAGAATGATTATTCCTGTTAGATTAATCCTTTAAGATGAATCCGGTATTTAATACTCCGTAATGCATACAATTTTTTAATATCTTATTTCGTATTCCCGACAAACATAGTCATTTAATGAGATGAGGAGTATAATTTATGCATTTACATTGTCCTTTTAAATGAAATTTTTAGTCTTAGAACACAAATTACCCCTGAAGTTAGAACTCTTCTAAAACCCCAGTAACTTGTACTCTAGGAATGAACTAGGAACTTAATAAAAGAAAAGTAATCTCATTACAAGATGTGCCAACTCTTAGATTCAAATGGGTTGATACTTGATACCATATTACTAATTCAGTAAGTCTACTCTTTTTATAACATCAACCATTTAAATGATATCAACAAAATCAGAGTTCATTTCATATCAACTTTCAAGCACTTTTAAAACGGGCAAGAACTTTATTAATTTCCATCTCACTTAATTTTAAACATTAATAATATTAATAGTGCGTAATTAATTCATACGGGGTACAATTTAACCGATCAAATTAAGTGCATGAAAATTATTAAACGTGAAACCGATAAAATAAGTCGAAAAAATTAACCCACAACACAACAAAATCAATCTCACTCCATGTCGGTTCATTGATAGATTAAATAGTTTAATTAAGTACAAACAACAGAGTATGCACTAAAAACCAATTAAATTACTCCGTATTAGTTAACCATCACAAGTCACAACTAGTGAGACGGACAACATTTTTTGCAAATACTAGTATTTGCTATATTTTGGTGAAAACACGCTGTTCTAATTTAAAAAAAAAATGGTACTAGTATTAGAAAAAATGCTATTTTATGTAATACTCCTCACTATGATTCCTTAGAAAAGTTCATGAATAGATTCGTGATTTTTTATTCTTGAGGTATGACTCGTTAAGAAAATTTATATTTTTAATAAAACTAAAAAGTCATATTTTGATAATAAAAAAAATAGCTATTTTCATGTGCCCATATGGACTTTATGGAGCAATTTCGTTTGATTGTGTATCCAAAAGTAGGCCAAGTTTTCAGCTCCTTTTTGGAGACCGAGGCAATGCATTTTACTCGATCCATCTTAAAAAATTTCATATTGGTCAAATTGATTTTTCTTAATCAATGATGCTCATGTTTGGGATTAAGGCTTGGATGTTGTTGTAATGATGCTAAAATTTGACTAATAATATCTTTTAATACAATACTAATATTATTTAAAATATGAAAAATATATGAGCATATTCTTTATAAAAAATCTTTCATCAAATTATATTATTTATAAATCTCACCCAAACATAATACTTAAAATCATTTTTTAAACTGTAACATCATTGACCGAAAAGTTAAAGTGGTCCATCCTTTTGAGATGAGGGGAGTTATTGCAGCATTATATAACTCAGGTAATTCACATTTCCAAATTATGTACTTAAGTTTAAGGGCTTGTTTGCAACCAATTAAAAAAAAGTGATTTTGGTTTTTTTTAAAAGAAAAAAGCACTTATTTTACCAAACACTATCAACTTTTACTTCATCGGTTTTCGTGTAGAATCTACCTTTTACTTTTTCTATTACACAAAAAGCACTTATTTTACCAAACACTACCAACTTTTACTACTAATCACTTTTTCTCAAAAAATGTTTTTATTTAAGCACAAGTAGTTGCAAACAGAGCCTAAAGAGGTAATAGTAATTAGTACGGAGTATGTAAGAAAAAGAAAGTTACTCCCACCCAAGAAAATAACTCCTACCGACAAGTCGACAACCTTAGCTATCGGGCATTTGGGTTCAGCCAAAAAAGCATGAATCTGCTAAACAAATTAAAATTTCATTTTTGAAGTGAATTAAAATGATAACGAAAATCAAACCTTATCCCCAGAATCTGATAAACCATTTAAACAGAACAAATATTTCCTGCAGAAAACATCCCGATCACAAAACATGATTTTTAATGCCGAATCCCAATCAAAGAACAACTAGAATACCTCAATTTTGAAGTGGAAATTGATGAGGAAGAGAAGAATGAATGAATGAGATAAGAAGCAGCAAACCTTATTTTAGTGCCGTATTCTCCCACTGCTACGTTTGAATGTTTGATCCTATTCTCACACTATATATTACGAGTAATATTGTTATTATTATCATACACTCCATATATGTATGTATTATATTATTTATGTATACAGTATAGTGTATAAACTAGAGAAGAGGCCTCATACTTTGAGAAGCTTTTTTCTTCCAGAAAGACGAGAGCGAACATCCTGGGTAGTGGATATGGAGGTCTCATATAAAGCGAACCTTTAATGAATATGGACGGTTTGTATTTCCGCAAATACCCTCAATTTCTTTCGCGATTATAATAAGGACCTTGACTTTTTATGTGCCGGTAAGGCTGACATTGACATTTACACCCCTACCGTATTACTTTTACTCCCCTATTTGAGCAACTTGTACTTAAACCCCAAGGTCTCCACCTCAACAAGGAATTTAGGGAATGGTAAGTCGGGGTGATTTAATTAGTATGGTATATCTCGTATTCGTGCGTGAGAGGTTTAGTCCATCATCCGTGAGTTGTAACTTTCGCACTAGTGTTATGGGATTCGATCATTGATTAATGCTTCAACTTTCCCACCACTCCACTAACTCAGCTACTTGTGTGGGTAAAACAATTGTCACCGAGAGATTTGAATTGAGCAACTTGTACTCCACTATCTATCTACAAAAGATGTTTTTAATTGGTTTATATTCAGTCTTAGGTCATATCGACCAAACAAAATCAAATCAAATAAGACCAAACATAGACAGTTATAAAATATACATAGATCACACATTTATTAGACCAAACTTAGCCAACTAGTTCAGACCTGTCCCATTCAGGCCAGATCAGACCATAAAATTCCGGTGTAATTTAAAATATCTGAAGTATGTATATTTTTTATAATTTTTTGTTATTTTTATTATTGTTATTATCCATACTGTTTTTTATGACTATTATAACTATTACTAAAATTATTATGTGTTTTTTTCCAAAAATATTACTCAAATAAAATTTATTTATAAAAAATGTACTCCTTAATAGTTATAATAGTAAGTCTTATAGTCAGTTAAATATAATTATTCAACATAAATTATTATAAATAAGTTCTATTATAGTCGCTACACTTAAAAGGTCATATTTTTGTATACAACGTTTAATTAAGTTATATATGTGGTATATAATCATTTCAATTATTATTACTACTAGTTTTAGGATTATTATTACGAAATCAACCTAAATAATACCTACTATCAGTCTGTTTCCTATAAACCAAAATCAATATTCAATAATATTAACTATGGAGTATTTGACTATATAATGAAGTGATGAATAGTTATCTTTCACTAGTCCCCACGCCGTCTAGACGCCAAGTGATGGCCACACAGTCAACTAGATGTCTCGAACTATTGGTTTGGCACCTAACTAAATTAATCGGCCGCTTATGGCACCTAGTTGCCTGAAGCTAGAGCGCCTAAAGCCGTCTAGTGCATCTAGATTCACCAAACGTTTTTTCTATGTTCTTATAAGCAAGTATGGATAAAGATCAATTATGTTTTATCTATTCTTATCAGCAAAATAGTTATGTCTATTAGACTTTACACGAAAAAATAAAACATTATAATTTCACACATGTAGTCTAATGTGTTACATTTTTTAGCTAAAATTTATATCTTCCAATTTTATAATTAGAATAAACATTAAAAATAAATAATTGTAAGTCATCTATGATTTTTTGTTTTGCTTTGTCAATTAAGCTAGTGTATTTATATGGTAAGCATGTCAAGGATAGTTACGTTATATAGTACTCCCTTCGTCCCTTTTTATTTAGTCAAACACTATTTTTCAAGTCAAAGTTATTCAACTTTGACCAATTGTATATTTATACAAGGTAATATTGTTAATATGAAAATTATATGAAAATGTTCTTTGTTGAAAATACTATCATAAAAGTATAAATTTATTAACTTTTTTATAAATATATTAATGGATCAAAGTTTATCATCTTTGATTGGAAAAATCAAAGTTGGCTAAAAGTTTTTCTTTTACTATAGGCGGTAGCTAGCTACGTTTACATTTCATTTACTCGTTATTGCTCTCAGGTAATGTGCTCCGGATATAGTAATGTTGACTTAACATATCATCACTAAAGTTTTATTGGAAAAAAATGGTGAAAATGTTTTATTGAAAAGGTGTTGATAAGTTAAAAAAGTTAGAGTTTCAACTAATAATGATGAAATGGTGAAAATTAGCATATTACCAATAAGGAAAAAAAATAATGGAGTTATCACAATATTTTCATCTTGAATGAGGAGATAGTTTTTCAAATTTTGATAGAATATGATGTTTCAAAATTGATGGCAGGATCGATTATTAGGGTGTTTCTAATTGGATTGAAATTTTCTAATCTGATCTGATCTAATCTGATCTAATCTGATCTGATCTGAACTGGTCAAGTAATTATGTTTCTACTTTCTAATTGATTCAAGAGGGAACATAAGCAATTTATAGGAAGTATATCTATATAACTCAGTCTTATCTTGTAAAGCACTACATTTGTCTCGATTAGTGAAGTACAATTATTTAATTATCCAAAAATGAAGTAAGGACTTTTCTTTTGGACTAAAATTTGCTGGTCTGGTCTGGTCTGGTCTGGTTTGGTAAACGTCTGGTCTCTGTGTATTTTATAACTATCCAAATCTGGTCTGGTCTGGTCTGTTTAAGTCTGGTCTGGTCTGGTCTGTTTAAGTCTGGTCTGGTCTGATCTGGTCTGGTCTGGTCTGGGACTGAAAACAGTCCAAAAGAAAACATCCTAAAACAGTAAAACTAATGTGTAATTCAAACTAGAAGTATTATTCTTTTCCTAAATGGCTAAATAGGATAAAATTACTTGCACTCTAATCTAAATCATCATCATAGTATAATATTTTGACATTTTCAGGCATTAATATGGCTGTATTAAACCTTGCAAAAACAAAGATATGACTGTATTAATGTAGTAATTGATATTATTATCCAAGCTATGAAAATAACTACTTTTACTAAGTGGAAAAATATAATACTACTAATTTTGAATTTCAAAGTTTTTGTACTCTTATTTAGAGTAATGCATTGGAGTTTCTATGGATTTGCTTTTTGCTATCCAGTATAACGTACTCAGCATATTTGAGTACTTTTTAAATATGTAAATTTTAAATGTTAAAATTAATACTCCGTATATATTTATCGAGAAATATTTAATTTTATGACCATTCCATTGTAATTGAGACAGAGGAAGGATATTAAAATTGATTTGGATTTGATTGAATGAGATTTCATCCTGTTTGATTAAATGGGAAGGAGGAAGAAGATTTGGTTTTGATTAAAGAAAGTCCATAGAATAGGGTCATGTATTATTACAACTAGGGGTGTGCATAATGATTTGGTTTAACTGAATCGTACTAAACCAAACTAAATTGAACCGAAACCAGACTGTATGCAATTTGGTTTGAGTTAATACTATTTCTTCCAAACCGTATTAAACCGGATCGAACCGAAACTGATAAAAACCGAACAAAACCGAATCGAACTAAATAAATTCAAAAAAAACTTCATATATCAATAAAAATTAACAAATCCATATCGAACCAAACCGAACCAAACCGGAAAATAGTATGATTTTTGTTTGATAATATTTCTTCCAAACCGTTTCAAACCGAACCGAAACCGATAAAAACCGAATTGAAAACCAATATGCGCAGGCCTAATTACAACTATATTATTACACTCCGTATTCTTTTAAAACTATGGCAGGGTAATCAAGTAATTTTAAATGGGGAGGGCAATGGGAATTGTACAGTACAATAAGGGCATACTCTTCATTTCACCTGTCGGCTTCGAGATTTATATGAAATAGAGGAAAGCTGAAAAATTAGAGTGCGGCAGAGGATCGAATGGATATTCGCATATGGAGAAAGTGAGAAGGTATAATTCCCTGCTCTCAGCGTATATTCCTTTTCGGTAGATAGGTCACCTGATCCTTCGCCATGGTAGCCTGGTAGGCCCACATGGCAAACTCGTGAAAATTCAAAATAGACCCTTTCTACTTGCCAGTAGGGGTGGACATAAAACCCGAACCGAACCGGTACCGAATCGGCCCGTAATGGTACCGAACCGAATATCGGGTATTTAAACGGTTCTATAGAATTAATCTCGAACTGAAACCGTACCGTTTCAAATGGGTACGGGACCGGTCCTAGATTTTGAGAACCGAAAAATACCAGACCGAACCGTTCAAACATAATGCCTTTGAGATTATTATATTTTTCAATACCAATAAATATCTTTTATAGACCAACAATTTTATGGCCTAAATATTTATTTATGCATTCCTAAACTAGATACATGTATGTGTTATATAAATATTATTACTTTATCCTTTTAGACAATTTATGTTATATTCGGTATATATATATAATGAAAGAATGCTAAAGTTTTAAAAATCATTAATGACTATTAATTTATAGTAATGTAAAGTATATGACGTTTTGTTGTATCACATTTGCGTATTTTTCAAACTTAAGTAATGTGATATGAAATGTAACTCTTACGGTTCAACTATGAATTAAACTAGAACCTATACTCAACTTAGAACAAAGAAGAAGAATGTTGATTTTTTTCATTATTTTCAACAATTTAATGATATTCTTTTTATATTTTCACATGAATTTAACAAAGATGATATTATACTAGTGTATCGTTGTTTTGCTATATTTTTACTTAATTGTGTTGCACTATTTGTTGTGATTTTAAATACAAAAATGTCAACCTCTTGAATCTTTTCTAGTATTTAGTAATTAGTATGCATTTTCTTATATTTTATCAACATTTCATGTGAATTGACCGGTGTGATGATATATACCAATTGCAATATTTGTCTAAATGTTTCGGCATGTGTTTGGCATTGTATCAAACCGTTTCGTGCCGTTCCGAATTGACATGGTACCGAATGGTTCCAGCCTTAAAACAGGATCGTACCGAACCGTTAGAAATCTTACGGGTACATTACGGGTTTTGCTAAATTACCGGACTGTTCCGGACCGCGCCCACCCCTACTTGCGAGTACTTTTTCCTTTTATGTCCCAAAATTATTAATCCAAAAATAGGATTAGATTTTACCTTTGATTCTCCTTGGTTAGAGTCGGGCACTTCCTTGAAATTGTGTGACAAAATAACACATATTTGAAGTATTTATTTTGTTCACTTCCTTGAA